CACTTGGTGATTTTAACGTGATAACTAATAACACCACGGAAATAATTAATAAAATGTTAATGTTATTCTGATTGTGTTTATTTTCAGAAAATTTATCTTAAAGAACTGTGGTCTTATCTTAAAAAACGATGGGCGTTTTTCTAATAACAACTAAAGAAAAACCAGATTTCTAATTTGCCTGTCAACGTAGCTGTGTGTCTACCCTGAAACCCTATGAGTCAATCTATGGGGAGGCCAACGTTCAGCAGTGGACTTTTTATAGACTATAATGAACAAATGAAAGAATGAGTGTACAAGACATGTAATATTATTATCTAAATACAGATTTATCGTCATTTTACTAGCACCAACTATGTTCGGTAAAATACGAACTTATAATACTATGGCGACTCATGAAACTAACAATATTATTTTGTGGCAACTCTATCTATCTCATTGTTTTCTAAAGACATTTTTATTAAGATTTTTGGCTTGGATGCTTGTCTTTTAAGCCATGTCTTTATTTATCTCAGTATCAAGTGATAATAATCCTATACACAGTACACTGCTTCACAATAATAATAGTTGATGAGTCACATTGCGTAGTTTTTGCCAACTTTTAGGCAACTTGAGCCAGTAAACAGTTGGCGATAGTATCTCAAGACGCCTAAGCAGACAGACACCTTATCTTGAGATTCACATCACCATCGGAGCATTTGTTCCTCAGTTTCCACTAATATTTCACATGCGCAGACATTTAATACACAAAATCGCACCACTTTTATATATTAAAATCCACTTCAAACCATTATTTAAACAATAATTCAGGAGCAGCAATCTGCCGCCGGTCAAGTTCCCGCCAAAACTCTTTTCTAAAGACATGATGCAACGTACTACAGACGGATGGGTCGGCTCGACCGGGGGAGGACCACGCTCTCACAGAATACCAGCGTAAAATAGCAGCTTAATGCTGCTGTGTTTCGAATGGTGAGTGTAGATGTAGAGAACCGGAGACCTGTTTTACTGGACGCATTTGCAATTTGATTTGTAATCGAGGATAGATGTCTATGGGCCGCAGCAACCGCTTACCAGGTGGACTGTGTACTCGCTTGTTACTATTATCCTATAAAAAATGTGTTTGGGTACAAAATATAATAATTAACTACAATTTTACTAACCTCACACAAACAAATAACAAACCGACAAGTGAGTGTGTTTTTTTTATTTTTACCGAAGTCATGCAACCTTCGAAGTGGATATAATATCAAAGAATGTTAATTTGTTTGGTTACGGATCCACTGAAGTTGAAATGAGCTTTGACATTTAACAATGATTTTGTATGAAAATCTGGGTTAACTTCCAATCTGCTTAGTACAAAACAATTGAAGTTACGACGGCGCTGAAGATAAGGTTTGTTCAAGTTTTTGCAATTAACTGAATAATATATATGAACGGGCCCAGAATTTTCTTACTAATCCTCTATGGAAAGGTCTTCATAATTCCTTGTTTTTGAGAACGCTACCTAAATACGTGGTTTTATACGTGGTAGAGCCATCTTGCAGCTATATTAGTAGTATAGTTGTAGCACGAATGGGTCGGCTCGACCGGGGAAGGACCACGCTCTCACAGAAAACCAGCGTAAAATAGCAGCTTAACGCTACTGTGTTTCGTATGGTGAGTGTAGAGAACCGGAGACCCTTTTTACTGGAAAAGAGGCATTCCATTTTAGTCCTCACGGGTGACAACGCATCTGCATCTTGAATCTTTATTGAGGATAGATGTAGATGTCGATGGGTCACAGTAACCACTTACCATCAGGTGGACTGTGTGGTCGTTTGTCACCCTATCCTATAAAAAACAATACGGTGTCGAATCTGCGGCTACACTGCCACGGACTCTTGCAAATGTCTTCTCTAAAACACTGTGAGGAATTAATTTATCTGTTTTAGCGATTTATTGTTCGTCGCGAAGGCACAGATTAAAATAATGTTACTACGGCGAAGGTAAATTGTTTCTACCGAAAATGAGGCGCAATTTTTAAGCCATTCCGTACAAAAGACTCATTTGCGTAGAACGTTTTATAATTAAAACACGTTGCCCAAATGAAAACGTTCCGTAATGTACGGCACGAATAAATAATAGTAATATAATGTTGTCTTTTTAGTGCACAAGTCGTTAGCCTTTGTTATAATTTTTTATAGTATAGTGCACTAAACCGGGGTGATCTTTCTCCTCTTTTTATTTCATTATTTTTTGAGTTATTAGGAAATATTACTATGGAGCCTTTGTTTGCCTTCAATATTTATATATTTTGTTTTCTTGATGTACATTTAAAAATTTAAAAGTTTCTTTTTTTTTAATATAGAATAAGGGTCCACCTGATGTTAAGTGGACTGTGGCCCATAGACATCTACATCTATCCTGGAAAAGAATTTAAAATGCAGATGCGTCGTCACCCCTGAGGACTAAGATAGAATGCCTCGTACTCAATAAAAAGGTCGGTTCTCTAAGCTCACCATACGAAACACAGCAGCTATTTTACGCTAGTATTCTGTGAGAGCGTGGTCCTTCCCCGGTCAAGCCGACCCATTCGTGCTACAACCATAAAATAGCAATAATAAAAAATAAACCATATAAAATAGAACAATTGCCAAGTTTTGACGACGCAATAAAATGGCGCCATTTAAAAGTTCTACAACTCTAAGTTAGCCACTCTATATTATTTGCGTCTTAGTTGCTATATTACGTATTAAATTAAAAAGAAATTGAGAAAAAGATATTTGATATTAATTTTAACAAAATCAATACCTTGAAGCGTAACGAAACCGTAGTTAACAGTCCTTTGGAGAGTTCATATTCTATCTTGCTCCACTTGAATCGTTCCAACGTTTCGTGAAGAACTCGCCGTGAAGTAGGATTGTGTCACAAGGAGTGGTCCGTATTTTCGACAAACTTCTAATGTAATTGGATACGCGACGCTCTACCGAACATAATAAAATTTAAAGTTTATTTTCGAGACCAGTAAGTAAAGATTTGACGTGTTGCAAAGGGAAAGAACGAAATTTTGAATTTGAAAATGTTACGTACATTACAAAGTAACCTATAAAATGGGTAAACCCGATAACTTAATTTTTTTTCGGGTTTGTCTAGCAAACAGTGCATCATCACATTTTTGAAAAATTATTTAATCAAAAATCTAAACCTATTTACAATAATAAAATTTTTGCCTAAATAAAATAAAACATGAATAACCTTTTTTTTAATTGTCTGTCTGTCTGTCCGGGTTAATCTTCGAAATAGCCTACCGATTGCGATGAAACTTCACTAACAGATAGAGAGCAATTCCAGGAGTGATCTAGGGTATATAGTCTCCAAAAATATACATGATATTTATTGTTGTCTTTGATGATCATCTTAAATCTAAATTACGCCACATTAATATACTCCAACCAGGTGAAGTCGGGGCGGATCGCTAGTTTATTGTATAAAAATTATTAGCAATATCGATGCCATTTTCTGCCGACTTCAAAAAGGAGACGGTACTCAATTCGACTGTATGTTATTTTTATGTGTGTTACTTTATAACTTTTTACTGGGTAAACCGATTTCGATGATCCTATTTTATTTGAAAGCTGGTGCTTCTCATGTGATCCCATATAAATTTGATCCAGGTCTGACCAATAGTTTTTGAGTTATTCTTAATAATTTATATTGAAGTCGGTTGTACAAAATTTTTAATTTTAAATTATTCTTTTAATTACTTTTATGGAACTCATTATCGACTAAATTTTAACAGAAATTTCGATTTGTAAAAAACATTTCACTGCCGCTTTCGGGATTGGTCAGTGGAATGCGGTAGATAACGTATTTTTACCTGGTAGAACCACCCATCAGGTGTATCATGGCTGCAGCACGAATCGATCCGACCGAAGAACAACCAGCCTCTAATCCAATTCGACCTCTCTCAGAATGCCAATGCCAGCGTAAAATAGCAGCATAATGCTGTTGTGTTTCGCATTATTACTGCACAGAACCATAGAGGTTTCTTATTGATAACGAGGTATTCCATCTTAACCTCCAGATCTGAAAGATCATCAGCATATCAGTTCCTAATCGATGATAGACATACCTTGGTGTTTTGAGCTTGGGCTTTCTTGAAATCTATAGACCTGATTCCAAATAATCGTGTAAATTTGATTATAAACGCGTCAGCTATCTCTTTTTAGAAATGGTTCATATGCTTAACATTTAGGCTTAGCCGGAGTGACTAATAATATGAAAAAAACACAAACGTTGTGTTGTTTAATATCTTTGTAGTTGACTACACACACACGCACTCACACACACACGCACACACGCACGCACGCACGCACGAACGCGCGCGCGCACACACACACACACACGCACGCACGCACGCACGCACGCACGCACGCACACACGCACGCACGCTCGCACGCATGCACGCATGCACGCACGCACGCACGCACGCACGCACGCGCACGCGCACGCACACGCACACGCACGCACACGATCAATTTATAAAAGAGACGAACATTTAAAAATGGTTATTCATGCCTCAATGGTATGCAAGTAAGCATAATATGCATATGCAGCTCAATAAAAGGCAGTTGTTTCGATATTACAAACAATTATTAAATACAAATACAATATTATTACAACAGTTATTGATTCAGTTACTAAGATAACGCAGAAGAACTTCATTGAAAAGCTTAGGCTTCGAACACATCAGTCGAACTAGGCTTAGAACACATCAGTATAGACTTCAATTTTATTGAAATTCTATAAGTAGCAGCTCGAAAGTTTAGCGGTGAGCGTTATTGCGCCATAAGTCGCGCTGATTGGCTCGTGCGTATCGTTCGCACGCGCTGATTGGCTCTCCAGTCGCATTCGTGTAATTCAATTTTTGCGCGTCCCCTCCACGTTTCGTTCAGCGCTAGACTTACGTGCCGCGACTTGTATGGATTTATTTATTAACCTTTTATATTTTTGAATCTTTGCAGCCATGAGCCGGAGGGCGGCGGGCGGTGCGGCGAGGGCCCGCTAGCGCGCGCGATGCAGCCCGCGCCGCCGGGCGGCTCGCCCAAGCGCCAAGCTGCGTCTACACCGGCACACGGTATGACTATTATATTATTTTTATTAATGGAAAACTTCTTTGTGGTCAAGTAATCATTACGTTTGTTAGTACTCGTAGTAGCACCACGCAGCAACTGTAATTAGTTTGCAACACCAAGGGTTGGCTCGATCGTGAAAGGAATACGCCCTTACAGAATGCCAGCTTGAAATGGCAGCTATAATCCGCCTGCCAAGCGTGGTGATTAAGACAAATTCACAAAGAGAGAGGTCCATATTCAGTTTTGGAGCTTGATTTATTGCGCTAAGATTAGACGTAGTTTCAAAGAGGATAAGGAAACATTTAAAAAAAAAATTAAAACATAAAGTATTTCATACTGTTTGGATGTAACAGTAAATTACGTTTTTGTTCTAAATAAAATTTGTCTTCCATGTGGAATTCAAACGCAGGACCAAATTTATTTAGAATACCTGACAAAGGTGCAGTGACAACAATAGTGCCGCGTAGTGGCGGTTAAGAATATCCACTACCCCATATCTTTCCGTGGGTATCGTAAGAGGCGACAGTGGGAAACAGGCAGGAGATGGGCAGCAGCTTCCTGCTGGAAACAAAACAGCGTTTGTCAACCCGCTCGCCAAGCGTGGCAACTATGGCAAACATCCCCCCATGATGAAAGTTACGAAGAGACGGCCCCCAGTCCCCGGCGGCCTCGCTATTCCTGGCTACGGTGGCGACCATGGTAACGGCGGGTCAGAGGGTGCTAAGAATCTCCGGTGGAGGTTCAGTTGCCACCTAAGACGACTTGACCTGCCAACATACAACGCACGAACCCTGAGGACTGACGAGAAGATCCTGGAGCTGGAAGAAGAGATAGATAAGTTGCGCTGGGATAATATAGGATTATCTCAGGTCGGAAGAGAGAGGGAGGATACGGTAATCCTCGAATCCGGCAACTTGTTCTATTCCCGGGAGGGCGACCATCTGTCCCAAGGAGGTGTCGGATTTATCGTCCACAAGTCTCTCGTTAACAACGTTGTTAAGATTAGGAGTGTGTCGACGAGGGTTGCGTACCTTATACTCAGAATCACCAAACGGTATTCGCTGAAGGTCATACAGGTTTACACACCAACCTCGGCACACCCCGATGAGAAGGTGGAGGAAATATATGAGGATATCTCTAGATCCATGCATACCTCCAAAACCTATGGTCTTAATACCATACAGTATTAATGGGAGTCTTCAACGCAAAAATAGGCTCAAGAGAGTACGGCGAGCTGAGTGTAGGGAAATTTGGAATAGGGCAACGAAACCCAAGTGAAAACTGATAGCGATCACCGAATGATTAGAGGCATACTGAACCTAAATATTAAGTTGAAGAGGTGTCGTCTAATGAAGTCAACGCTCCGTCTCCCACGTGCCTCGTCCAAAGTCCCGAAACCTTTCAGCTCGGTTACAAAAGCGTTTTCAATGCCTAGAAGATTGGAATGCAGTGGACGATATGAATAACACAAAAACTTTCCGAGCAAGCTCTTAATCTCATGGCTGTTAGACGAGAAATGAAGGTGCAGTCTTCAGCAGATTTGACAGCATACAGGCAACTGAACAGACAGATCTCCAAATGCATGCGGCGCGACTTACGCAACTGTAATACTGCTCGTATTGAAGAAGCTATCTAGCGGAATAAGGTCTCCAAAATATTTGCCAGAATTCTGTCTGCCAGACAGAGCCAACTGTCGAAGATGAAGACCGAATGTGGCAACATCGTTTCCGGGACACTTGAGATTATGAGTGAGATTGAGACGTTCAATGGGCACGTCATCGTTGAAGCCACACGCAAGTGTGAGTAACGATCCAAGAGCAAGTCTTATCCGACACTATTCTGATAATATCCCGGACGTCAGTCTGAGCGAGATTAGAACGGCTCTCCAGCACCTTGAAAATGGCAAGTCTCCAGACGAGAATGAAATTACAGCGGAGCTTCTGAAAGCAGGTGTAAAACCAGTACTTGAAGTCCTTCAGAAGCTCTTTAATTCCCTCCTCTATGGTGGGTCTACTCCGGAGGCGTGGAGCAGAAGTACGATGATATTGTTCTTCAAGAAAGGCGACAACGCGCTCTTGAAGTACTACAGACCGATTTTCCTTCTGAGCCGCTTCTATGTGCTGTTTTCGAGAGTCATTACGAATTGTCTCGCACGCAGACTCGATGACTTCCAGCCTCCCGAACAAGCCGGTTTTCGAAAAGGCTTTAGTACCATAGACCACATACATACCCTTCGGTAAATTGTACAGAAGATCAGAGACTTTTGTTCCTGTCGAAATTTGAGCGGCATTGGACTGGAAAGGATACGGTATTAACATCAACGGCGAGTACACACCTTCGATTTGCCGACGATATAGTCCTTATGGCAGAATCGCTGGAGGACCTAAGTATTATGCTCAATGACCTCAATAGTGTCTCCCAACGGATAGGTCTTAAGATGAACATGGATAAAACAAAGATCATGTTTAATGTCCATGTCACACCTATGCCGGTAGTTGTTGGGAACACTAAGCTCGAAGTTGTTGACGAGTATGTTTACCTGGGACAAATAGTACGACTAGGTAAGTCCTACTTCGACCGAGAGGTCAATCGACGGATTCAACTTGACTGGGCAGCGTTCGGGAAATTATTCGTCAGATATACCTCAAAACCTGAAAACGAAATTGTACAACCAGTGCGTGTTGCCAGTGATGACTGCAGCCAGATGATGTTCAGCAGTGGACTTGTGAAAGGCTGTAATAATCTGACAACAACTCGTTATAAATATCCACGGTGATTTTCATATCAAATATCATCATCAATATAAAATCAACATTTTTAAACATCGTCATATTTAAATTCCAAAGCGAATTTTAAATAAGAAAGACAGACACAAATTACGATGAGGGAATGAATTTCTACGTAGGCTTTAATTGGCGAGAGCGGCTTTGAATGACTTTTGTTCCAAAGCACTCTACGGAAGTGGATCAAATTGTTCCATCACAAATATACGTAGGTACAGATCGTTTTGCAACTGGGAAGTTTATTAATTTATTTGAATAACATCCGAGTATTATGCAACATCAATTATAAGTGTTTATTAAGTTATTTTGCTAATAGATTAATGTTTAAGGATAAATTAAATTTTATGGAAAATGTTGTCCAATAAATAAAAATAAATAAAAATAATAAGAATGAAAAATAAACTATATTTATTTATTTATAAATGTATAGACTTAATAAAAAAAACGCGTCCACAGTTACAGTAAGCACTATCGACCCATAGTCCACCATTAGGTGAAATGTCAGCTCGTTTGATACTCTACTCTATGTAGGTATTACTAGCGATCCGCCCCGGCTTCGCACGGGTGATTTCTGGATCTCGACAACAGCGCCACCTACCGGATCCAAATGTCTGTAAAAATCTAAACCATCTAGACCCATTAAAACACACAAAAAATTCGTTAAAATCGGTCGAGCCGTTTATGAATTTAAGCGAGACTAACGGAGAGAGTGAAGTGAAGACGAGACGGCTATGACGCTCAGAGCGGATTTGTGGTTTTCACGTCTCTGCAAAATATTCCCGTATTATTCGATTCAAGAAGCAATTACGGAAGTAGCAAATCCGTTAATTATAAGAAAATTTAAATCCAATCATAAAATGTACATATTTGAATATAGAGTCGAGTTGGTATCAAATAATCAGATCTCTAGAGACTAACGCGGCGATGTCGTTTTGTTCCCGATCAATAGCTGGTAACGAAGCGGGAACCAAACGTGAACAGCCTTAATGAGAGCACTCAAGCCTCTCTTATATCCTCTTTTCAATCTGAAGTACTTTTCAAAACATTATTTAACGATGGTGATTTTCTATTTTTATTAAAAAGGAATTGCTTCCTAATTTTTATGCTTTGTTTTGTAAACCTATTAGCCCTACTGATATTAAAGATTTATTGATTTTATACTTCTACTATATCATCGAAGAGCTAACAACCGATGGAGAAGAAATATTCTGGAATGTTACGTACTGCGCAATGTTTTTTTTTTTATAGAAAACGAGCATACACTCCGCCTGATGGTAAGTGAAAACTGTGGCCCATAGACGTCTACATTTATCCTCAATTACAAATCAAAATGCAGATTCGTCGTCACCCTTGAGGACTAAGATAGAATGGCTCGTTTCCAGTAAAAAGGGTCCAAGTTCTCTACACTCACTATACGAAACACAGCAGCATTGAGCTGAACAATGCTACACCACGCTACATTGTGCCGCCACGGCTCAATATTAAGTTGACTTTTATTATTTCTGTTTTTGAGTGCATTATAATTTACTGATACGATCTCTCATTGTAGGAAGAATTTTCCGTAAATTCCACGCTTGGCAGACCATTTGACGTCATGTTGTCCGATGAAAAACAATACTTTAAGGTTGGACTGTAATTCGACCGCTACAAAAAAGACACATCTACATTTTATTTAAATTAAGTTAAACATTATGTAAAAAAAAATACGTATTCCCTGTTCGATCCGAAAGAGGCTCACACAAAAAAAATTATATAAAACTTTATATTATTGAACATAAAAAATGTTAGTGTTTTTATATTTTAACAAATTTTGTAATTTGGATACATTTTTTAATGTGAGGATTTTTACTCGACGGCCGCCCACACCACATGTATTGCCTTGTAAGTTTCAAGTTCAATTCTGTTTAACCGCACCGACGCAGAAAGAGGTGTGTTATAAGTTAGACGGCTATGTGAGTCTGTCTATCTGTCTGTGGCACCATATCTCTTATAACGGGTGAACCAATTTGGATGCGGTTTTTTTTTATTTAAAAGCAGATATTCTAGCGGTGGTTCTTAGACATGTTTTATCAAAATCGGTTCAGCCGTTTGATAATCATCAGCTCTTTTTTGGGGGGGGGGGGGGTTTAAATTTTTCAATCTAAATTATAATTAAATTTTATTTTAGTTTTTGCGAGGTAATTTGTTATGTTTATTCCTTGAAAACGATTACACTACAT